CTATGGGAGTAATTGTCTAATAAAAGGGGGTAATTTGTCATATGTACTTTTATATTGTCAACACAAAATTCAATGAAATGGGTTTGTTTTTTCATGGAAACACAAGCCTTTTTGAGCCAAATAATTAATGTTTCTTTGAAATAACTAGTGAAATTAGAATAACATTAATCATGGCAAATGTTAAACAGTTCAAGAACAGATGCCTCAAATGCAGGTGTTCAGTAAACCATGACCTTTTTCTAACAATCATGTGGAATCTGTGAAGTATAATTTAGGAGAAAATCATGGAATATAGGGAGGTTTTGTTAAATTACATCTTTCTACTTTTTAGTCTTGAAGGGTGTATTTGTTATTCTTCTGATGCTGGAGTAAAATACCCTAACGGAAAGCAAGTTAGGGAAGAAAGGTGTTATTTGTATCTCAGTCCATCTCCATGGGAGAAGGCATGGTAGCAGACCATAAGTCCAGTCCATCACAATTCATGAACACACAGGAAGAGAGAGAGAGAGAGAGAGAGAGAGAGAGAGAGAGAGAGAGGCCAGACTGTAAAATCTCAAATCCTGTTCTCAATGCCTTACTTCCTTCACCAAGGATTCATGACCTGAATGTTGTAGAACCAACCCATACAATACCATCAACTAGTGACCAACTTGTTCAAATTAGTGAGTTGATGGAAGACAATTGTCATTCAAACCATAACAAAGGTACACCTTCAAACACAAAACACCAAGAAAATAAAATAACATACTGAATTTGAACACAAAAGAAAATGAAGTAGTGCTGCAAAATTAATTTTACAACGAATGCTGGGACGACACACTTTACTCTGACAACCTGAAGCCAGATCTTCAGTACAGAACTGTCTAGATCACATCTTACATCCTAGCACTGGTGATAAACCACTGCAGATCTCAGCCACTTGTGAAAAACAGCCTTTATACTCAAAAGGCCAAGATTTACTCTCCACATAGTCTGCTTCCCCTCTTGCTATATGGGAAAGTATAATGTGCAGTAAACATCAGCACATTTTCATTTTGTTGTTTTGTTGTAGTTTCATTCATAGAAGTAGTTATTAATATGCAGTCCCATATTGGTAAGTGTAAGTCATGTAGGATGGTACTTACCTCTCTTCTCTGAACTTGGGAGGACCAGGAGGCAAGATGCTTAACAATTCATGCCCATCTTCGGTTACATAGTGAATTCTAGAATAATATGAGTTACAGAGTGATACTGCTTCAAAGAAACAAACAATTACTTGTGTACATATACATACAGAGGAGAAGAGAGAATTTTTTTTTCCTTTTTTAATCCTAACTACTGAAATCCATGAACAAAAACTTAAATGAAATCCATAAAATTGTTGTGTTGAGATAGACATAGCTGCAGACAGTTATAATCTCAACACTCAGACTGAAACCTGAGAGTTTACATATCAAAACCCTGTCTAAATAATAGATACATGGGCTGGAGAGAAGGATCCATGGTTAGGAGTTCTTAGAGATCTTGCAGGGGCCCTGGGTTTGGTTCTCAACACCCAAAGGTGGCTTACAACCATCTGTTAACTCTAGTTCCAGGGAATCTGATGCTGTCTTCTGACTATCTTGGGGACCAACCCAGGGCACACATCCATATTTGCATATTTACAGACAAAGCACATACATAGGTAAAAATAAATAAATAAATAAATAAATAAATAAATAAATAAATTTCTTTAAAATGTAAACAATACATAGATCTGCAACAGATATTCTGGTTATTATAAGTCGTCAGATTATTGAGATCCAGAATCACATGGGAGACAGCCTCTTGTAATCCATGCTGGAAATTATTTTGACTACACTAATTGAGGTGGTAAGACTCGCCCACTTCGGGTGGTACAAATCCCTAGGATGGAATCTTGGACTATATGAAACGGAGAAAGTGAGCTGAGCAAATGTCTGTCCTTCTGCTTCTTGGCCTTGGGCATACATTGCTTGTGTTGGAGTATTTTACCACAGCAACGGGGGAGATGCAACTAACACAGATGCTCAATAAACACAACCAAAACTTAGAGACTCTACTGCACATTGATTGCAAGCAATCTGTTTTCAGTAAACTTCAACTGTCCCCAGCTAAGAGCTTTATTTATTCACCCTGCTATCATATTACAGGGTGTGGGGGTCTTCCTCATTTATGTTCTCTCAGTTACTGAATATATAAGAC